ATATATATATAAACTATTTTGTGTAAAAAAAAAACAATCTTATTCTTTACCCTCTTCCGTGTGCTATAAAAAATATTGATTAATCGAGCGTTTGGTCCCTAATTTTGTGGTTAGGCTGGGAGGATACTGGCTGGCCCTCCCGGGGCCCCCCCTCTCTCACTTCTCCCTCACTTGAGGACTAACAATCTCACATTAGTTTCCAATCAACTTGACCAAATTGGAAATTTTAATCTGTTACCTTAAAATCTCCAATTTTGCATCCAATAAAGTATATTTCTCTATTTATTTGCACTCAATTTCATGGATGACATACTCTCCCATGAAATCAAATGTGACTCTCCCCCTGTTGTAGAAATCATAACCCTTTCAGAACATTTGTTTCTCAAAATATTTTAACATTTTAATTGGTCAGATTGAAAAGTAAATGAAGATCGGAGTACAAATCATCACAAATTACAAATCATCACATTTAAAACCATAGAAAATAAAATCAATTAGTAGGGAGAAGGATAAAGAAGACTACTCATAATTCATGAGAAGGATGCGACAAAATACGAATTGCATATATAGAAATAAGTCTACAAAACAAAAGAAATAAAAGACACAACTTATCTTACAATCCTTCCCAAGCAAATCCGTAGAATTTCTCTCCAAGTCTCTCTCTTTACAAACAAACTCAATTCTCTTTTAGAAGTGTAATGAATAAGAAAACTCTCACCTTCCCTCTCCTCTACAGAGGTGGGTTTTGGTAGGAATCTTCTTTGTTTGGTCTGAGGAAGCTTTTGAAACAATCAATTTGGATTTTTTTGGAGTTTTGTGGAGTTTTTGAGAAATGGCCAGAAACGGCCCAGGGTTTGAGCTCTAAAATTGAGCTCAAATAGTGGGACAGATGGCTGGAAGATGGTTGGAATGGGCTTTGAAGGTCTTAGAGGAGCTCTGAAAGTAATTTGGTAGAGTTTCCTCAAGGAAATTAGTGATCTCTCTAGTTATCCATGGAAGGTTGTGTTTAAATAGAGGGGAAGGAGTAGCCACCATGGCTGGCCAGTAGGTGCAATGTGTTGCCTATCTGGAGGGAAGAAAGGTGCAAGTGACCATTTAGAGTGAGCCATCTCAAGGAGTTCAATGCTTAGGGTGATTTTCAATTTTTTTTGGCGGCCACTAGGCCCACCGACCAGGCTAGGGCTAGTGGTTAGGGTGCTCAAGTGAGCCAGGGGGAGCTTAATGTTGATTATCACAACAGTTTGATGGTTGGTGACAAAGATATCTTGGATTTAACCAAATATGGGAACATATCCCATAAATCAAGGGACCTTTAGTCCATGGTTCATGAAGGGTGGGCTAGGTGGGTCTAGTCTGGTCCCTAGAGTCCAAAGGCTGGGTGTGGTGAACATGGCTTGGTCAATTTGAATGGGTTTGGTTCAATTTAACACTTGGGCTCAAAATCATGTCATGGACTTGGATTTGAATGTGGGTTTGGTAAGACTTTGAGTTTGGCTCAATTGATTGATTAAATTGGCTAGGATGTTGTCATGAGAAGTTTGGAAAAAGAATTAAGTGATTTTGAATTGATTTGGGAGTTCAATTTAAAGGATGTTGACCCATGAAAAATTTTCAGGAATTTGGATTAGACTTGGGTTTGGATTGGCCTAGGTTTTATGTTAGGCTCAATTGATGCTTCAACTTGGTCTAAGGGTATGTAATGAATAGTTTTAGATATCAATTGGTTTAAAATTTTGGAGTTATGAGGTTCGGTTTCATGGAATTTAGACTTATGTGCAAATTTTGGGATTTTGGCTTAGGTTGGATTTGGGTGCGATTTAAGGCTAGGCTAGGGCCAATTGATAGTTAAGACCACCTTAAATGGAGTAAGGCATCCAATTCTCTATCCAAATCTTTCAGAAAGGTTTAAGACCACGTTAAACGGAGTAAGGCATCCTATTCTCAAATCTTCAAGATCGGTTTAAGATGACCTTAAATGGAGTAATACATTCGATTCTCTACCCAAATCTTCGAGATAGGTTTAAGACCACCTTAAATGGAGTAAGGCATCCTATTCTCAATCTTCGAGATCAGTTTAAGATCACCTTAAATAAAATAAGGCATTTGATTCTCAACTCAAATTTTTCGAGAACTGTATGAGACCACCTTAAATGGAGTAAGGCATCTGATTCTCTTTCTGGGGTTGATACCAAAATTTCAAATCCCATATCGAGGTCAGTACCTAAATTATGATTCCCATCCCCCCAAACTATTGTAGTAAAAAATCAAAGTTTTCTAACAATCAAGTTGAAATTGAATTTTCAGTGTGACCGTCGTGGTCGTTTTCGAAATCCCTTTACTTATAATCCTGACCAGAGTTTCTCGGTTTCGCTCGGATATTCATTTG